GAACACCAGCACCCCGCTTTCTGGGGGCACCCCATCCCTCTGGGCTCAGCGCCGGCTGGGACAGAGCAGGAAACTCTGGGAAGTTTTTTGTTTATTCACTCCAGAGAACACTGTACAAATATTACAGGCAATTTCCTTTCCTTGCCAAAAAACCAAACAAACAAACAAAAAAAAAGAAGTATAAAAATAATCTTTATATAGGAATCAAAGTTCATTTGCGACTGTAAATTTTTCTCTAGGAATCCTTTTCTGAAAGTCGTCTAACTGGTGGTGAACACAAACGCTTGGGAGGAGGGTGAGGGCCGGGCAGTACGTGGAGAGCTCGAGCTACACCGCAGCCACGGAGCCTCGCCAACGCGCGGGCGGGACTGGGGGGGTTTGCCAGCTGCCGTGCCAAGGAGGGAAGGTTTGGGGACTGGCTGCATGCGGGCGGTGGGGTCCCACGCCACAGCTGTCTCACCGGCACCAGCCACCCGCTGCCACACTGAAGAGCATCCTGTTGTCCATCCCAAACTCTTCATGCTTTTCCCAAAGAGGATGCCGAGGTTTCAGGGCTGCAGGGAGGAACAGCTCTTCTGGAGGAGCCGCCTCTGGGACGCGGGTCCCAAGCACGTACTCTGCTCACCTCTGCAAGCTCCAAAAATTTAAGACTTTACATCCCTTATTGCTGCTGCTCCAGGTGGTGAGCAGCTGAGTGGAGAAGTTAAATATCAGCTGGTTACGTGGACGGCTGCAAGCTACTTCTCCTGGTCCTCTCCTGGAGCAGGAAAGGCAGGAGAGCTGCTACCACCACGTCTTCAGGAAGATGTGCAAAACTAAAGACACTCAAATACAGGATCTGACTGAAAACCAAAGTTGGGGCTTGCAAAATACAACACAAATCCATCAGGGCATTTTCCTCCAGGAAAAACAGGCCAGGGTCCAAGACTGGCACCACCTGGACATTGTCATGAGCCCAACAGTGGATCTGCCGTTACAAAGCAATGGAGAAAATCTTGCCAAAAAAATAAAATAAATGATGCAGAGAAAACATCACACTAGGGAGCAACCTGCCACAGGATCAGGAACTGGGAGCGTGGGTGTGGAGGACACCAGAGGAGCAAATTCACATATACACAAAGTCTGATCCTGAGCAGATGCCGAGAGAGAAAAAGGGGAGGGGGAAAAAAAAAAGCACTATTCTGACAACACCTACGTAACTTGTCACAGCAAAGTACCACTGAATTGTTACTGCTTGGTCGCCTTTTAGCCAGTTGAAGGCTCAAGTGCAATGGTTGAAGACAGCTATTTGCAAATACGAGCGGGCTCTGATGTACCTGGAGTACCTTACAGGCACCAGCTGGAGCACTCTTTACCCTTTCAAACATCTCTTCACAAATAAAAATTTAAAAAAAACCAAACCCAAAAACCCAAAACATACTGGCACCTCTTCTTCAGCCCTGTAGAAACAGCACAGCTGCTGTACGAGGAGCTGGAGCTCCCGGGCTCAGGCATCAGCAGATCGGTGAACACAGAACCAGCGTTCCTG